CACTGCGCTTGATGATTTAATATTGTTATTTAAAAACTATCAAAGTAAGTTAATTCTTGTACTCACTCCTACCTATCTGAGAGAACACCAAATACTCCTGTGGAAATTCATTAGCTGTTTAAGCACATAATGGGTACATCTCTCAGATGGTTTAGGGATAGTTGGAGCATCCTGCAACCAACTCATCATACTGTCTGTTTAGAAAAATTTGGCAAGGAATCACATGTTAAAATCACTTTTGTGATTCAGAAGCAACAAACAATGCAAGACTAATTAGGTATTATTTTTTTCTTGCAGCCATTGCAGTAGTTAAAGCAAAAAGAGCTGGGATCTCTATAAATAAAGCCTGAAAGCTCAGAGGCTTAACTTAATAGAAGTTTAGTTTTCATTCATACCACTGTCCAATGTAGGTGTTCAGCAGGCTTTTCAAGTGGTGTTTCAGGAACCCAGACTCTTTTTATCTTGGGGCTCTGCCATCTTCTTGGGTCTTGGAGTCCTTCACTTCTGGCCAGCAGATGGAAAAGAGGGAGAGTTGAAGACTAGTCAGGAAGTTTTTATGGAAGTTGAGTTCCTCATTTCTATCCACATTTTACTGGCCAGAAATAAATCCTGTGGCCCCATCCAAATACAAGGGTGGTGGTAGTGGGGCTTCTTAGCAATAACCCTACACTGTGGAAGAGGAGCACAGATCTTCACTGTGCACCTGGTCCTTTCTGCCACAGTCAGAGTGAGCATTTTAAGAATCCCAAATATCAGAGATGGATGAAGAATGTGAGATGTGTCTTTAGACAGTCCATGTAGTCTGGATACAGATTACAATCCTCACCCGACACCTTAGGAATTAAGGTGATCCTCCCAACTGAAGTTGAGGTTGAAAAATAGTGTAGTTAGAAAAATTACAATTCTTAGGTAATGGGAAATTTTAGTTTACTTTTTAAGGAGTGACACAGAGCCCTTTTTAAGGGCTCAATCTGGATTTTGAGCTGGTTTTTATTGCAATAGAATTTGTATAATTTTAGCAAAGAGAACTCTGTTTCCATTTTTGCAAAACTATTGCTACAAGTTTAGCTTTTTTATTGCATGTTTGCCCTTAATATTTTTGTGTTTGGCAGAAATTACAACAGCACATGTCTTTACCCTATGGTTTTTATTTTCACTGTGTTGCTTAGTTTTTTCTTAATTATTTTTACTTGTTTTGTATTAAACTTAACTTCTTTCCTCACATTATCTTGCAATTTTTATTCTGGCACTGAGATTGGCTATGGTATGAAATTATCATGAATTTCGTTTTTTTTTTTTTCCCCCAGTGTCTGGCAAGTATGGGGATCCGAACCCTTGACCTTGGTTTTATAACACTGCACGCTAACCAACTAAGCTAACCGGCCAGCCTCATTCTTGGCTCTTTTTAAAGATGATTTCCATGCCACCTGGTACCAGAACTGGTGACCTGTGAAATATATTTCTTCTATACAGCAACTCTGAAAAGTAACTGACTTTTGGTTTTCTCAT